TTCTTCTTCTTCTTCTTCTTCTTCTTCTTCTTCTTCTTCTTCTTCTTCTTCTTCTTCTTCTTCTTCTTCTTCTTCTTCTATACATTGTTAAATTTTTATACTTTTTTCATGAGTTTTTGAATATATATGTGGTTATATTTTTATTTTTGTTGTTAAGGTTATTATTTTACCTTGCAGATTGGTTGTTACATTAATCTAATATGAAATTTTAAGAAATAAATACAAATCATTAAAATAATAGATAATTTGAAGAAAATGAAATGTCTCAATTGTTTAAGAAATCATTCAAAACTCATGGTGATCTCCTTCAAAGCATGAAAAGATTTTATTTAAAAAATGGATATACAACAACCATCAAGAAATCTAAAGAAAAATGACTTGATTATTCTATGGAAAAAATTAACTCTTTTATTACTTCCATTACCAATTGTGATTAAGAATGATTTTATTCGAAATTTGTATTTTTCATTTTTTTTATGCCAAAATATCTTGATTATTGTAAAAAAAAAGAAAAATAAAGTCAAATTTATTTTTGAAAAGGGAAAAATATGGAATAGAAAGAGGGCGGTAGTGGTAAAGGTCAAGGGAAGTAAAAAGAGAAAGTTTTGGAAAGAGAAAAATATTGTTTTTAGAATCATGAGTAAATATGTCTATTTATAATTTAGGCGTGACATTATCAAAAGAGGGTATAGCAATAATCTCACCCTTAATATCTAAATAATTAATAGGTGCAAAGATTGAAAAGTAAATATATAGATCAACAATCCACTTCAAAAAGACGAATGTGAGATTAGAATACTAAATTCTAAAGTTGAAAAGAGCACATGCAAATAGACCCTTGTGTTCACTGAAATCTTGTCAACCACCAAAATTACCTACGACCATTGTACATAATTTTCATATGGCTTTTTTTTTTAATTTGTGCCTTTAAAATATAGGTTAACAGTGTAATAATTAAAGATATATTTTTGTCACTAATTTATATTAACAAAATAAAAATTAATCTTTAATTTTCTAACTACTCAATTAAATTTATTTATCTATCAAGAATATTAAAATCAATGTTAATTTTTATATTTTGTCATACACATTTATGACAAAAATGTAATCTTAACATATATACTAATAGTACAAGTTGGGAAAACCATTTCAATATAAAAGCGTCTGACAAAGTATTGCAATTATGATGGAAAAGACTTATCTCTCCAACAACTAGAGGTGAGGAGATTTTGCCTTAGAGAAGCAAGATTGGTAAGAAACTATTCAGGTTCCATTTCGAAAATGGCTGGATGAATCTTTACTTTTTCTTTCCAAAATTACAGCAGAGAATAACTTGGTGATTAAAATGGCCATTACAAAACCTCAAAGAAACAAAGTTTCCTAAATACATTGTTTAACATATAACCTTATGATACTTCATTCTCAGAAGGAAATGGACTTTTCATTTTTGAAAAAATATACCCAAAATTAACAACCCATAAAAAGGATAGTAGAAGAAGGCTAAAAGGTGGAAATTATAATCATGCGCTCTTAGGCATTAATTGCTTATATGAGAAATAACAAACACCCGAGTAAAAATGCAAACTCACTTCTACAAACAATTAACTAATGATGGACCTTCTGGAAAAAAATAATAATAATAATTGAACAATAGTTTTGTCATATATTATTTTGATAGAAGTAGTCTTGCCATATTTAAAACACAGTCAATCAAGATTCTAGTATTAACTATATATACAAAACTGTTGTAATAATAAAATTTTCCTTGAATTTTTTAAATAAATACTCAATAAGCTTTAAAAATTTATCAATAAATACTCATTGGACTTTAGAAAAATTCTCAATAAATACCCGCTGGCTTAAAACTTTCAAAGATATTCTACCCATTGGACTTTAAAAAAATCCTCAGTAAAACCTAAGATAATAAGTAAAAATATCTAAAATACTATGAGTAAGAATCATTCTAACATAAATTTATCAATAATATTAATAATAGAAAATAAATCTAAAATACTAAGAATCATCCTAACATAAATTTATTAATAATGTTAGGAAATAAATCTAAAATATTACGCTCAATTTATAAATATTATAATTATATGCTGCTAAGATGGTCAATCCCATAATTATAGAATGGAAAGTAATTATAGAATGGGTCCCACAATTATAGAATATTAAGACTATTAAAATATAAGTAGATATTATAATTATATAAATATTCAATAGATTACTGTGTAAACCTTAATTAATATTGCTAACAATCTAAATAATTTAATAATAATTTCTCTCTATTGAAAGTAAGAGAATTAAATTAAAGTTATATGACATAACTAAAAATAAATTAAGTAGTAATTTAGTAGTAATCTCTCTACATTGAATTGGGAGAGAATTACTTTTAATTATGTAACAAGATCAAAAATAAATTAATAAATAAACCTCAATTAATATCAGGTGTGAGTCCCACAAGTAGTATGCTACATATTTTTGGAACCCATACTTAATTATAGAATATAACTACTACAATTCAATTTTGAACACATTTAATATCCTTTTCATCAAAAATTAAAATTTCTTGTTTTACACTACCAATTTATATATATATACACACATACACTTTATTCACCCCTCCGATTCCACCAATTTTTGTTTACGTTTATATAAATCTCTCTATGAAGGGATGAATTAACTAGTGCAAGTCTAATTTATAAACATATATACTTTCTAGCATGTTATATGAGTAGTTAAATCTTGCTTTGAGTCACTGAGAATTCCGATGTTGTTTTGGGTTTTTTGTGTTTGAAAAGTTGTTGTTGTACTTAGTGTTTAGTATTAGACTATCTAAGGTCATGGTGGAAAAGCATCCATATATTATATCGTGGAAGTCATATGATTAGTTTTTTTACAAACTGTTTCATTCTCTATTATCAACTGGATTTCTTGCAGGAGTTTTTGCAGCTTCATATTTCATAAGCTGCTTCATTCTTCTGAATATTAGTGAATTAAGATATTATTTCATTTTCAGGATTTATTTTCAATTAATCAATATATATATATGCACCTTTCTTTTTTTATGGTGTTTTGATGGTAAGGATGAAGAGAATGTCTCCAAGAATGCTGGTGAAAAAGTGAACACAAATGTGAGTACAACTTCAGAAGTAGCAGGATCACCTAAAGGATGTCAACCAAATTTAAAGAAGTAAAGGAACAATGCTTCAAAGACGAAGTGAAAACAGAAAACTTTCTGTTTTCAGCCTACGTTCTGAACACAAGCTGGTAGAACTGAGAACAACAAAATTGAGTGTAAAGAAATTTAAGAAGTGTGAGTGAAATAAAGAAAGCTACCTGCAAAAAGAGAGCTTCTTATGCTTTTTTTTTTTTTTCGAAAGGCAAATATTAAATTAAAAGAGTACAAGGGGTATTCAAATCCATATACATTAGTCAATCCCTGTTAGGATGAAAACAAAAAAACAAAAAAAAAAACAAACAAAAAAAAAACAAAAAACAAAAAACAGTATAGCGTTGGGAGGCTCATTTATAGAATCTTGCAACACCTGGGGTTTAAGATCCAATCAAAGAAATAGAAATGTACTTCCTTTCCTTTGTTCTTGACCCAGAGGAAGACTTGAGCCTGAACTTGATCAAAAGTATTTGTCAAATCCATTGATTTCCCTCTAAAGATTATCTCATTCCTAATAGTCCATATGGTCCAGACAAGAGAAAACCACACTATAATCCAACCCATCCGTTCACTGCTTTTAGTAGCTAAGGACTCATGTTGGATGAAAGAATCCCAACATAGGGCAGATTTTTGTAGTAACCGAACAATGGAGAAAAAGATGGTTGCTATCTTCCACATTCTGTCCACAAAGACTACAATTAACAACCTTTATCTCCTTAATGAATCCCCTTTTCAACAAGTTGAATTTTGAGGGAGTCCTATGAAGTAGTAGTAACCAAGTGAATCCACAAACTTTACTAAGAATAAAGGGGTTCCAAATCTTCTCAAAAACTTGTTGGTATGGTGAGAGTTGATGTTGGACCAAAGTAGTGTATCCTGAGCTTGCAAAGTAATCAACCAACTTATCTCGTTCCCAAGTCCAAGTGTCTTCCTTCCCTATGGTCAGGTTGGTCTCCTTGAGAAGTTTGTTGAAGTCTTGCATGGAATCCTACTCCCAAGGGTGTGGGTTGGGTGCCCAAGGAAGGTTCCAAACCCATTTGTTGTCTTCCCATCTACCCATCTAAGCAATTATGTTGTTTTTCCCTATAGAAGCAAATATAATCTCAGAAAAACATTAGCAAGCACTCCAGTACTACTCCATGAATCCTTCCAAAAACTAACTTTCTCTCCATTACCGATCCTAATCTAGAAGCCCCCTAACATCCAACCCCTTCTATTCTCTTCTAATACATCTAACCTACACAAATCCTTCCACCAGTTGGACC